ATAAATGAATGAATAAATGAATGAATAGATAGATGAAGGAATAGACTGATGGGAGCAGCAGCAAAGTCCGGTCTTCAGCACCAGGGGGGAAAGCAAAAGAAGAAAGCAAAAGTTTCTTCAAATGGTATTTTATTTTCTTTTTGGAATTTAAAATAAAAACAAAGAGAGAAAAGAAAGTAAGAAAGAGAGGAAGAAAGAAAGAAAACTGATGCTGCAGCTCCCAGCGCATGCAGCAGCAACTCCGGGGCTGTGTGGCGCTCTTGGATTTCAAGTTTTTGGCCAACTTTGAGGAATTAAATTCTTTTTATTTCGTTCCATTTCATCTTATTTCATTTATTTCATTTGTTTTTATGTATTTTCATTCAGTTTTATTCAATTCAACTTTTTGTTCCTTTTAATGCCAAATTTCCGCACTTTACGCCACGACGCACTCCGCTTCCCACACCCCGATGCAAAACCCTAAACCCTAAACCCTAAACCCTAGCGCTGCCGCAGAGTTGAAGTTCAGAGCCATGGGGATAAACAATCCGTCAAATGAAAATAAAGTGAAGTAGATAATTAAGTTCCTTTAAGTCTCACTTCAGCCATTCTTCTTGTGGGAAGGGCCACCTGTAGCAAACCCTAAACCCTAAACCCTAAACCCTCAGCCACGGAGTAATAGGCTGCTCCTTTTGCCCTTCTTTATGGCCCTTTGCTAGATAGCGCAGAAGGGAACCCTAACAGCCTGCTGCGGCCATTGCTGCTTCTGCCGCCGTTGCTGCTGCTGCTGCCGCTGCTGCTGCTGCTGTGTCCTCGTTGCTGCTTTTGCTGCATTCGCTGCTGCTGCCGTCGTTACTGAAGCAGCACCTGTTGCCAGTGTTGGGGCTGCTGCTGCATGAAAATCTGCTGCCGCTGCTACAGTATTGCTGCTGCCGCTACAGTATTGCTGCTGCTGCAAGTATTGCTGCCGCTGCTACAAGTATTGCCGCTGCTGCTTGTACAAGTATTGCTGCTGCTGCTACAAGTATTGCTGCTGCTCCTCGTACAAGTATTGTTGCTGTTGCTTGTACAATTATTGCTGCTGCTGCTTATCGAACATCTGCTGCTACATCTATTGCTGCTGCTGCTACAACTATTGCTGGCGCTGTCGTTGCCCGTGCTGCAGCAGCAGCCGCTGCTGCTGCAGTAGCAACAGCAGCAGCAGCAGCTGCTGCTGCTGCCGCTGCAAGGAAGCAGCAGGAAGAGACAAAAGGTGATAGATGGAGACAAATGGGTTTGTCTCTTTTCTTCGGAATTAAATTAATTAAAAAATTGAGCAGCAGAGAGACGAAGAGAGACACGCAAACCTCTATTCAAATGGCCTCGACAACCTAAACCCTAAACCCTAAACCCTAAACCCTAAACCCTCGGAGCCGCAGCTGCTGCCGCTAAGGCCCAGCCAAGCGATAGAACCGAAAACCACAAATTGCAAACCCTAAACCCTAAACCCTAAACCTTAACACGAATAAAAATCATCAGATCATTCCGCGTGGGGTCAATCTACCGACAAGTCGCCAAACCCTAAACCCTAAACCCTCGCCCCTAAACCCTAATTTAGGGTTTTGAGCTTTTCCTTCCAACCTTAACCCCGAACGCTGGAACCGCGAAATCCCACAAACATTCCAAACCCTACACCCTACAGGTCCAGGGCAATGCGGGTTGTTCCAAAACCCAAACCCTAAACCCTAAACCCTAAACCCTAATCGTCTAGAGCTATGTGAGTCAAGTTCACACACAAAGGATTTGCACAGGCCATCGTGAAGGCTTTCTTCGGCTTCTCCTGCAGCTCGTTGAAGCTCTCCTCGTCTGCAGCAGCAGCAGCAGCAGCAGCAGCAGCAGTTTGCAGCTACGCGCCTATCTCCAATCGGCTAGCTAACCAGCTGGCTAGCTAGCTAGCTGGCTAGCTAGCTAGCTAGCCAGCTATCTTGCCAGCTAGCTGGCTAGTAAACAACACCACAAGCACCGCCACCACCACCATCACCATAATCACCACAATCAGCAGCAGCAGCAGCAGCTGCAGCAGCAGCGCGCTTCCAAAGTTAATCCAAATTGGCATCAAAACCAGCAAAACATTCCCCCCAACACATTAAAACAATTCTCTGAATCTGAATAGGACTTTAATGCCATCAAAAAATGCCATTTGTCTTCCAATTCAAATCTGAACTGGACTCCAACTGCAGCAAAACAAAACTCCGACTAAACCTTGAACCTGCATTTAGTTCCAACAGCCTGAGTGGGTCGTTTTACGTCAAAATGGCTCAAAATGGGTCCTTTTTGGGTCTTTTTTCCGCTAATTTGGAGCCAACTTTTGCAAGTTTACCTGCGTAGAGGAAGACAAGAGTCCTGTTGACGTAAGTCTGGCTTTCCTGGCTTTCTCCCGGCTTGACCATTCGAATAACTGGCAAGTTGTCTTCTTCGGACAAGTCGCCGTACCAGACCACGCACTGCTTGTCGTCGCCCAGCACCGGATCGTAGCCCCGGTGCACGCCCCGCGCGATCTTCTCTGAAACGCAAAATTCGCAAAGATCTCCCGCGCAAATTCAGTTCTTTGATCGTTTTATTCAGTTACTTTCCCTTTTTCATTCAAGCCGCAAAAAAACGAAGAAAAATGTCCAGCTTCCCGCTTCCCGCAGCTTTCCCGCGGTTGCGCGGACCCGCAATGGGCCGGGGTGTACGTACACCCGAATGCAAGCGCTTTACCGCAGATTCTGAATTTGCAAAATTTTCTGTGAACGTTTAGACAAAAGAATTAAACGCATTCCATTCAAAAGATGTTTTTGAAATTAGAGTCAAGTGAAGCAATTTGAAAAGAGAATCTGAAAAGAAGAACAAAACGCGAACTTGAACGAAACCCGCGAGGAAAGCGCGGGCAAGAGCGGCGCGAAGTCAAAACTTCGACGCCAAAGGAACCAAACAAGCAAAAGCAAACAACATTTAAAAAATAAAAAGAATAAAAGAGCAAAGAACACTTTGAAAGTAAAATAAATGAAAAAGTTGAACTCACGGAGAATTTCAATGCGGGCCTCCGCCGTTTGCCAAAACTCCCGCGCCCGCGGGTGCACGTAGTGCTCCCAGGCCCTGCAGACGGCCTCGACCTCTTCGGGGCTGCGCGGCTCGAAGGTTTCCTGCGACGCGTACCGGTCCGTGAACGCGCTATCCCCCTGCAGCAGCAGCAGCAGCAGCAGCAGCGGGTGCAGCAGCAGCAGCAGCAGCAGCGGCGGCGGAGGAGGAGGACGCGGGGAGGCTGCTGCAACGCGAGCCAAAGCAAGGGCAAGGAAGGAGGTAGTGCGGGTCATGCAGCAGCAGGTAATGCGGCAGCAAGTCAGATAACACAGCAGCAGCAGCAGCAGCAGCTGCTGCTGCTGCTGCTGCAGTAAGCGGAGGAGGGATGTTCTTGCTGCTCTTCAATCGAGTTTTTGATTTTCTTCTTTTGAGTTTCGAAATTTAAACGTGAAGTGAAAACAGGCGTTTTGCTTCTTGTAGAAACTTGAAATGGTTGGCTGCTGCTTGTTGCTGTCCTTTTATTACTTGAAGATTGCATTACTATTACATACTACTTAATTATTTAGATATTTATTTATTTAGATATTCAATTATTTAACTATTCAATTATATTATTGTTAGTATTTTAGTACTATGTTATTACAAATGTTTATTATTCTATTGTGGAATAAATGCAAAGTGGAAAGGCGCGGGAAAGAGACTTGAGTGCACTGAAGGGCTGTGGGGTGTACATATACTACAGAGAAGCGATAACCACAAGGCAGCCACACATACACACACTGCTGCTTTTGCTGCTGCTGCTGCTTTTGCTGCTGCTGCTGCTGCTATGTGGAGAAGCTAGAGAGACGGTCCCGAAAGAAAGGTTCTGGAGCTGGAGCTGCTGTGTGGCTTGCGGTGTACGTACAGCTGGCTGCAGCGCGAGCACCAGCGGGGCAGCAGCAGCGATGAAGTTGCGATGAATTAAAGCTCAATAAAGGCGAAATAAAACGAAAAAACAAAATAAAAATAGTTTTTAATTCTTACTTCCGAGTTGGAGTGCGAAGAACTCTCCTGGGCCTGCGAACTTGTTCTTTTTTTCTTTTTTTTTTTGTCGTCGTCAGCGCCGCCGAAACCGAAGAGAGCAGCAAAGGGGGTGTTGCTGCAGACCCTGCAGTTCCACATGATTCCGGAGTTATTTATTCATAAAGAAATAAATAAAAAGGGAAAAAAAGAAATAAAAGTAAATAAAAATAAAGTTCAAGTCGACGCGCAGCCTCCGCCCCAACTTGCACTCCGCCAGAAGCCCAACTGCTGCTGCTGCCTGCTGCAGCAGCCCGCAGCAGCAGCAGCAGCAAACCAGAAGCAAAAACTCCAAACCCTCGCCAACTCTTCAAGTCCAAATCAAATTCCAAAATTAGAAGAAGACAAAAGCAGCGAAAGACCTGCCGGGCAGACGCAGCGCAAGACAAGCGCAGCAGGACCCACATGCAGCAGCAGCAGCAGCAGCAGCAGCAGCAGCAGCGGTGAGGGAGCTGCTGCTGCTGCTGCGAAGCAGCAGCTACACCGCTTCTCGAGGAGCTCTTCTTTTCTTTTCTTTATTTAATGCTGTACTTTTCATTTTAGAGATAACTCCATTCCTCGCGCTGAGAGAAGAAGCCCCCCAGCAGCAGCCTTACTGCTGCTGCAGCAACGCTGCTGCTGCTGCTGCTGCTGCTGCTGCTCTTGACCTTCCTTCGCTGCTGCTGCTGCTGCTGCTTGTCCGCTGCGGCAAGCTCGCCAGCTGCTGCTTCAAACTCCTCAGCTTTAATAAACAAAAGGGACTAAAAACAAATTAATTAAACTCCAACTTTCCTTAAACAAAACAAAAGTCCAAACAGCAGCTGCAGCAAACTCGCGGGGCCTTGCGGGTCTTGGGGGCCCCCAGGGGCCCCCCAAAGACCCTCGAGGCCCGGGGGGGCCCCCATTTGGGTTTTCTGCAAAATAAAAATTAAAAAGATTTTCTTTTCTTGGAAATACCTGGGGGGCCCCCCGGGGCCAAACGGGTACTGGGGGCCCCCCTGGGGGGCCCCCCAGTACTTGAAGGGAAAGAAAGAAATAAAAAAAGAGACAAAAAAAACAATTTAATTTTAATTCTTTTAAAAAGTCGTTTTCAACTTTTCAAATTTGCCCCACTTCTTTTGTCTTTCTGCTTCTCCTCCTGTCTTTTGTTCTTTTTATTCTTTCCTCTTTTGATAAGTAGAAATTCCTTTTGCTGCTGGTGCTCCTGTTGGTGCTGCTGCTGCTGTTATTGCTGCAGCTGCTGCTGCTGTTACTGCCGAAAAGCTGCTACCGTTACTACTGCTGCTGCTGCAGCTCTTCTGCAGCAGCAGCAAGTGGTAAGCGCGTGAATACGAATTGGAGTTATTTCTCCTCTCATTACTTACTAGAAAAGCAATTTGTTTAATTGTAATTAAAACAACTAGAAGTATTTTAATTTAAATTTGAAAGTGATGAATGCCAATTCAAAGAAAGCAAAAACTGGTGAGCTCCAGGTGTGTGTACACCCCAAATGGCAAACAAAGTGCTTCCTGCTTTGCGCATTTAGCAGCAGCAAATGGCGAAGTTGAATTTGAAATAATTCAATTTGATTTGAATGAAATAAATAAATTTAAATGAATTTAAATTGATTAGTTTCTTTTTATTAATTCCTTTAATCGCAAAATTGCTTCTTTCTTGTTTGCCTCCTCCGCCGCGAGGCGCCTCCGTTCGTCCTGAGGAAAAGAACAAAATTAAAATATTTTTTGAATTATTTAAATTCAAAATAAAAAGATTATTATTTTCATCTTTTTTATTTTAATTGCTTGTCATAAAGATACAAAGAAGATTCTTTTTTTGAAATGCGATTCGAAATGGCAATAAAAGAAAGACAGGGAGAAGGTCCCATACAAGTGCAGTGTACAGACACCGCAGGACTAGAAAGAAGAAAATTAAAATATTTCTCAATTGCGGAAAGGGAAAGAAAATAAAAATATAAAAAAGATAAAACTAGAAAAGATAAAAATCAAAAGAAAGATGAAGAGAAAAAGGAAAATGAATAAGCAGCGGATAAAAAGAAGAACAATTAAATCGCAAGTAAATCTAATTGAAAGGAGGAGAAAAGAAATAAAAAATAAAAATTGAAAAAGAATAAAAAAGATATTTAAAAACATTTAAGGAAAAAGAAATGAAATAAAGAAATGCAAATTCACCTCCAGAGTCTGAGCCAGCATGCTGCTGTAGTGACACCGGAACTCCTCGCGCACTCCCTCGCAAGCCTCTTTATATTTCTTGTGCAATTTCTGAATTTAAAAAAAAGAAAATAATAAATTAGATATTAAAAACTCTTTTTCAAGCATTTTAAACCCCACTGCAAGCAGAAAGAACAGCAGAAGTGGAAGGAAAAACAAAAAAGAAGGAAAAAGAAAGAGAACTAAAAAAGGAAACTAATTTGCACAATTGCAAATCTGAATAGAACAAAATGATTTTTAATAAAGCGAAAAAAACAAGATATAAACAAGGAAACAAATTAATGAATGAAGAAATAAAAGGATTTAAAAATTAAAAAAAGAATAAAATTAAATTAAAAGTTAAAATGAAAATAAAAGTTATTTACCTCTCGGAGCTCCAGGAGTTGAGTTGCTGCTCCTTCCTTTTTGCTGTCAAAAAACAAAACAGATTTTGAATTAAATTAACGAACAAATTTTTATTTAAATTAAAACAATTAATTAATAATGTTTTATTAAATTAAAACAGTTAATTAATAATGTTTTAGTTAAATTAATTAATAATGTTTTATTTAAAATAATTAATTGAGTCTTAATTTCAAAACGAAATCCCACCTGTTTGCATTTGCTTCTTTCTCCCTGAGTTCTTGAATGTTCTGTTTGTTTCGAAAAGAATTAAAAGGCGAAAATTGATTTTATTTTTGCAAATTAGGTTTTATTTGAAATGGATATTTAAAATGAATTGTTTTATTATTAATTCTTCTCGAAAGAGTTGTTTGTTTTGATTAAAAAGTGCAATTAATGCAATTAACTCGAAATTACTTTTTGAATTTCTTTTTCTTTTTTCCGCAAATTCAAAATTTCATTTTCCGCCATTTTCTTCTCCTCTTCCAGCCGCCCAACTGCTGCTGCTTCTTCTTCTCTTTGCTGCTGCTGCTGCCTCAGGTGTTCCTGAAATATAAATATAAATAAATAATAAATAAATAATAAATAAATAATAAATAAACAGTAAATAAGTAATAAATAATAAATACATAATAAATGATAAATAATAAATAATAAATAATAAGTAGTTAATTGATTAAAATGGAGGAAATGATGAAATTCGGCAGAGACAGAAGAGCAGTGAAAGTTTAAAATGCGAATTTGAAATAAACTTTTAATTCATTATTTGTGAACAAATCTTTTAAAATGATGAAAATGTTCAAACTTTTGAATTAAATTTAAACTGAATTAAAATTAAAATTAAAATTAAATTTAATTCTTTTAATTCTCACATCAAGAAGAGCCTTTTCACTCTCTCTGTCTCTCAGTCGCTGTTCTGCCAAATCGACCTGGAGAAGCATAAAAATAAAAACAAAATATAAAACTTTTTTGAAATGAAACAAAAACGAGAAACTAATCCAAATTAAGGCCTTTGCTGCCTTATTCAAGAGATAAAAGGAACAAAATGGGGCGATTTGAGTTGAAATAAATAAATAAAAACAATTCTTCAAAAGATTTTCTTTGTTACCTTTTTTAATTCCAAATCTGCTCTTTTTCGAGCCCAAATTAAAGCCTGGGTCATTTCTTTCTGCTGCGTTGACACTGCAGCAAGAGAAGCAACGGAAGCCTTTTCTTCTTTCTGCAAAAGTAAATCAAAATTAAAAAGGTTTGCGCAACTGATAGTTAAATAAAATGGATTAGGTGCACACAGCCCTGCTGCTGCTGCTGCTGCTGCTGCTGCTTAATTCAAGAAAACGCAGCCACAAGCTGGCCAGTGGATTCAATAAGGGAAACTTCTTTTGTGGTTACCTGATCAATGGTCTCCTCTTTTTCTGTCATTTCTTTTTCTTTTATTTCTTTTTCTTTTTCATTTAAAAGTTTCTTTTCGTTTTCCAGCAACGCCGCCATTTCCGTGTGTTCCATCAAAGCCGAGTCCTACGGGAGATCAGAAGGGTGAGTTTGAAGTTCAGAGTCGGATTTCTTTTTAATTTCTTCTTAATCATTTATTTCAATTTTAATTTTTATTTAATTTGAAGTTGAGTTTCTCACACGAGCAGTAAGAAGAGTCTGCAGTTTCTTCTCGCCGTTCTGCAAAGCCTCCAGCAGCTGCGCTGCAGTTTCTTTTGCTGCATTGAAGTCTTCGAGGAGATTTTCTTTTTTTTTCAACTCCGCAATTTTTTCTTTTTCGCTCTTAATTTGATTTATAAGCTGCTGCTTCGCTGCAGTCAGCGCTGCGTCTCTGTCGCGCAAAAAGATTGCAAATTTGCAAAAGATTTGCAAAATATTTGCAAAAACTTCGACACTTTTCGCGAACTTACTGCTGCCGCAGCTGCTTCATCTTCTCCATTGTGTTGTACATTTGATCAGTGCTTTCTTTCATTTCCATTTTCAATTCATTTAATCTTCTTTCGAGCTTTTCTCTTTCCCGTTTTTTCGTTTCCGAGGCTTTGATGCTTTCTTCGCACTGCAGCGCCGCTTCTTTCTGTTTTCAATTAAGTTAAAAATCCAATTAAATCCACCAATTTAAAAAATAAAAAAGCAACATTAAAAAGTTTTGAAAAGCTTTCCAGCTTTTCACCTGCTGCTGCGCAGCTGCCTGCAGCTCCGCCTCAGCCGTTTCCCGAGCTCGCGCGACATCTGTCTGGAATGAACAGACGATTAAAACGAATTCAAATAAATTAAATAAATTAAAATAGATCAGAAGAATAAAAATAAATTAAAAGAATTAAAATGAATTAAAATTAAAAATTGAAAAAGTTGAATTGGATAAACACGCGGGGAACACACCTGCAGCGAAACTTGCTGCGCAGAAAGCTCCGCGCGTTCCGCGGCGAGCCGCTCGAGATGCTGCATTGTTGGAATTCGAAATAAATAAATAAATATATAAATAAATAATAATACATAAATACAGAAATAAATAAATAAAATTTGAAATGATAAATAAATAAAATACATTTCTGAGTTGCTGCTGCTGCCTTTTGCAGCATTCGATGGCGCCGAGCTGCTTCGCGCCTTCGCCTTTGCTGCTTTCGAATTTGGCCTTTGCAGTTTCTGCAAAGTGGTTTAAATGGATTTAAAAACAAAAGAAGTTTAAGAGATGCAAAGATGAAACAAAAGTTCAAAAGGATTTAAATAAAATAAAAGACTTAAAGAGCTCCACTACTCACCCAGAGTCTCCTGGCCAGCTTCTAAAGAAGGCTCTAAAGTCTTTTTCGTCTTTTCTAATTCTTCAATTTGAATTTCCAATTTCGCCTTTTCCATTTTGCGCAGCCGCGCCGTCTCCTCTTGGCCCACGATTGTGCGCAGCAGCGACTCGACACAAGTCCTAAGAATGAATTAAATGAATTAAATGAATTAAATTAATTAAATTAATTCAATTAATTCAATTAAGTTCATTCAGTGCGACTGCTCGGGGCCCGCTAGCCGGGAAAAGGCACTGCAAGAGCTCAGCATTCCCCAGTTTTCGCCAAGACAGAGCCAAAAGGTCTTCACCAAAATTGCACTGAGACAAAATTCAGAATTTGCTGCTACGCACATTTCCCGGTGGGCCTCATCCTGCACTTTGCAGAAAGCCAAGTGGCGTTTCCTCAGCTCTTCAAACTCTAGAGAACAGAAGGAGTGAAAAAGTGGAAAAGAAACAAAGAGAGCAGTACAGCCAGCAGCAGAACTGGGGCTGCAGCAGCAGCAGCAGCAGCAGCAGCAGCTGCAGCGGCAGCCCCCACATCTCTTGTGCTGCTCCTACCTGCTGCGCTCGCGCTTATTTGCTGTTCACTTCTCTGCATTTGTTCTTCCAGAAAAGAATTGGTCTCTTTTAAGTGCGCCGCAGCCACTTCCATCTTCTCTAGGCTGTTCGTACACTGCAGCAGCCACTGTTCAGCAGCAGCTAAGTTCGCTTCCAGCTGCTGCGCCTCATTTTCAACCAAGAGCTCAGCGGCCTTCGCCTCGTCAGCAGCAGCCTGCACTCTGAGGTGGAAGTGCGTGGAAAGCGCTGCAAGTTGTGCAAATTGAACGATAAAGAAAAACATTACTTTGCAGCTTTCTCCGCGTCCGCCTTTAGTGCCTTTCCGATCGCATTTCGCAGATTTCCGCAAAGTTCAATTTCGTCGGAGAGGCTTCGCGGCTCCATCGCCTCGGGGGAAAGCGGGCGAAAGCGGCAGAAAAAGCACTTGCAAGTCGGCAAAATTGCACTTTTTGAATTATTAAAGTTGAATTTATGCAGAAATTAACTTTTACTCTTCCCTTTCCTCAGCTTTCCAATGCGACTCGACAGAAAGCGGAGCCGAGCGAAACCTAACGGGTCTGCGCACGAGGTGTACATACACCCTGGAGGCATTCAAATTTCAATTCAGCTTTCTGTCTATTCTACGCGGGATTCGTCAGCCCACACGCAATAAATGCATATTTATCGACTGCAGAAACTGCTGCATGCATTCAAAACAACATTTCAGCCGAATTCTGCAAAGTTTTTACAGGTCCGGAAAGCTGAAAGTGCCAAAACAACACTCTTCCGCGTTTCTCCCAAAAGACTCTCCATCAGCCTTTCTGCGCCCTCCTCCTTCCACTCAGCGAAAAGAAAACAAGGCACATCAAGCAGACGGCAAATCAAAGCACACCATCGTCTGGACCCTGCAGCAGCAGCAGCAGCAGCAGCTGCTGCTGCTGCTGCTGCTGCGGCGGCGGCTGCCGCTGGTGGTGCCCGCTTCCGCCGATGCCCAGCAGCCGTCGGCCTGCGCTAAACCTGCACAGCACTTCACTGCATTTACAATTATTTACTTATTTGTTTTTTTATTTATTTGTTTTTTTCCTTCTTTGTTTCTCTTCACATGCGTCTACCGTTGCTCAACGCTGCAGACTTGCTGGGCCTTTGGCCGCTGCCACTCGGAGACTCTTGTCGAGTTTGTCTTTTTGCATTTATTCTTCTTTCCCTCCCCTCGGCCTCTCCAGCCTCTCCCCTCCTCGGCGAGGGGGCCCCCAAAGGGCCTCCGAGGGGCCCCCCGGGGGCCCCTGGGGCCCCCGGGGCCCCGGGGGCCCCCGGGGGCCCCAAAGGGGAGTCTTCTGGGTACCTCCTGCGGTCCCTAAAAGAGGGCCCCCTGCTGCCGTCGAATCTGTCTCTGTGGGAAATGAATCTTTCCCATTTTGTTGTTGGAAAAGAAGAAGAAGATGAAGAAGATGAAGAAGAAGAAGATGAAGAAGATAAAGAAGAAGATAAAGAAGAAGAAGAGCGAGAAGGGCTGAGGCCAGAATGGTACTGAGACCGCCGAGGGCTGCTGTAGTCCTCTCTGGAGTCTCTCTGGCTGCCTGCAGCACAATAAATAAATAAATAAATAAATTAATTAATTTGTTATTTAAACATTCAGTCTCCAGGCAAGTACATGAAGAAGCAAAACATTCACTTATATAAAATACAATGCCAATGAAAAGCAGCAAAACAGTGTCTTATCTGCCTCTCCAGGACACTGCAGCAGCAGCAGCAGCACGGCAGCAGCAGCAGCACAGCAGCAGCAGCAACAGCTTACTGCGGTAGGAGTCCGAGGGTTTGCTTCTGTGTTCCCTGTAGTCTTGTCTTCCTTCTCTTTCTCTTTCTCTTCCCCTTTCTCTTTTTGCTGCTGCTGATCGGCGGCGCAGCTCTGCTGCAGCAGCAGCAGCAATCTGCTGCGTGGTCCGCGACAGCTGCTCCTTTTGCTGCTGCCCCCGGCGATCTCCTGCAGCAGCATGCGCTGCAGCAGCATGAGAGCCATCGGCTCCTAAAAGCAAAAATGAAAAGTCGCAGTCAGCAGCTGCGCGTACACCTGAGAAGCGCGAGGTGTCTGTACACCTCAGCGCGTTGGAATTCAAATTCGTTCAAGTGTCATTTCAATTGTTTTTTATGCGTTTCGCTTGATTCAAACATCTTAATTGTTGATTTTTGTTTTATTTTATTTAAATTGTTCTGTAATTGTTTTATTTTGTTTTATTCTCTCATTTCTCTCTTTTCGACGATAAACGCACCTTCCAGCTGCGGCCGCCTCGGCCTCGCCCTTTCCTCTTCTTGGGAACTTCTGCCTTTTTCCTTTTCTTTTTCTTTTTCTTTTTCTTTTTCCTTTTCTTTTTCTTTTTCTTTTTTGAAGGTCTGGGCGGTTCTTTCGCTTTCGCCGTAGTCGACTTGCATGTCGTCATCAGCAGCAGCAGCTGGTTCTGCCGCAGCGTCCGCAGCAGCAGCAGCAGAATCCGCAGCAGCAGCAGCGTCTTGCGCGGGATCCGCGGCGTCCGCTGCTGCTGCGTCTTCAGCAGCAGCATCTGCTGCTTGCTGCGCAGCCTCTGCTGCTGCAGCGTCTCCCTTCCTGCCGTTTCTCTCGCCGGAGAGCTCGTCGTCGGCCGCCGCGGCCGCCGCTGCTGCTGCTGCTGCTGCTGCTGCAGTGCGGCTCTCAGCCAGCTTCGCGTAGCGCGGCGGCTCGCGCTTGTACAGAGACAAAATCCGAGTGCAAACTTTCACAACATCTTCCCAACTCACGTCGAAGAGTTCGTACCAGCCTGTCTCCTTCGCGAGCGGAATCGACAAGTCGCATGCAGCCAGGAAGATGCTCCCCACAGCCACCACTGCCGGCTGCACTTCGCAGCACAGCGTCGTCCGCATGCTGCAGCAGCAGCAGCAGCAGCAGCGCAGCAGCAGCAGCAGCAGCGCAGCAGCAGCAGCGCAGCGGCGGCGCAGCGGCAAGGGCGAATTGCGACGTGGGTGGGGAAGGAGGAGGCTCAGGTAGTTGCGGAGGAAGCAGCGGCAACGGAGGGGGAGGTTGCAGCAGCACAGCAGCAGCAAAGCAGCAGCAGCTCTACCAACAGTGCACACGGCCGAAGCAGCAGCAACAGCACCTCTCCCATCAGCAGCAGCAGCACCAACAGCAGCAGCACCTCTCCCATCAGCAGCAGCACCAGCACCATCACCAGCAGCCCCTCCTCCCTCACCCTACCGCATCCGCAGCAGCAGCAGCAGCAGCAGCAGCAGCAGCAGCGGACCTGTCGTTGAGGTACCCCCAGGCGATCTGCGAGAGCCTGTTGGTGGGGATGTAGTCGCCCTTGCAGAGGGCGTGGATGTACTGCAGAATGTAGCGGTGGGGGTGCACGAGGGTTTGCGAAACCATAAACCCTAGCTCGCGCAAGATGTACCTTTCGCAGCGGAAGGTCTCCGACCGCGCCAGCTCGAACTCCTGCAGCAGCAGCAGCAGCAGCAGCAGCAGCAGCAGCAGCAGCAGCGGCAGCGGCAGCGGGCGTGGGAAGGCCGGCCGCGAAAGAGCTGGATTCGCGGCGGTCCGGCAGCTGCACGGGGTCGAGGCGACGAGGCAGCAGCAGCAGCAGCAGCAGCACAGCAGCAGCAACAGCACAGCAGCAGCAGCAGCAGCAGCAGCAGCAGCAGCAGCAGCGGACCGTGGAGTCATGGTCGAGAAGCAGTTCGTCGAGGTTTTCGAGAGTAATGTCTTTGTTGGTGTCTTCTGCTTTCGAAAGAATGTGAACAACATCAATCAAACTCTTCACTCGCCGCGGGTCTTCTTCCAGTTTGCAGGCCAGCAGCAGCGACGCCGTCGCCACCAGCTGCAGCAGCAGCAGCAGCAGCAGGAACCCCATGGGCTTGTGTTGCACAAAAGCACACGCACTCCTGCTGCTGCAGTCCCCGCTGCTGGCAAGCGAAAAAGTTGCCGAATTCGAGGCAATGCGCACGCGGCAAAGAGACTGCTGCTGCACCGCAGCAGCAGCAGCAGCAGCAGCAGCAGCAGCAGCAGCAGCAGTAGCACTCACCCTGACGTCGAACTTTTTGAGGCTCTTTCTGTAGTAGAACCTGTGCAAGATGGTCTGGGCGCTGGCGACGGTGACAGCTTCGAGCTTCAAAAGAATGCCAGCTTTTTGAATTAATTGGCAGCCATAAATTCTTTGCGAAATTTCAACTTCGCGCGTCAGCCCGTCAACAATGGAGGGCGTGCGCTGCTGCAGCTTGCGGGGAACCAGCACGATCTGCGTCGCCATTGTTGCGCTGCAGCAGCTGCTGCAGCAGCAGCAGCACTGCAGCAGCTCCCGCTGCGGCAGCAGCAGCACTGCAGCAGCTCCTGCTGCAGCAGCAGCAGCGCTCGCGGCCCGCGGCCGCCCGCACCGCCGCGCCAACTAACGACTGCAGCTGCGACGCTGCTGCAGCCGCCGCTGCTGCTGCTGCAGCGACAGCAAAAACTGCTGCAGCGCCTCCGAAGCCGCCTCCCGCTGCACGCCTCCCGCCACAGCGAAGGAAAGCCCGGAACGCGAGGAGATTGACTCGATAGGTCCGCTTTTATTTCGAAATTGAAGACCAATTTTCCAATTTAAAGGCCTCAGAGAGCTGCTTTCTCGCCAGGTTTCCACGCGCAAGACCAGTTCCGCCGCGCCAGCGTCGGCGATCTGCAGGGGAAAGCTGCGGAAAACCAGAGATCTGGGGGAAACTGAGCAGCAGCAAATGGCGGATTTGAAAAATATAAACAAGTAAAGCAAAGGAGACGCAAGAATGAAAGAAGTGGCGCGGTGATCACGGAAAGAAACGGAAGTTGAATTGCTGCGCGCAGGAAGCTGCCTATACACTCCAACAGATGCTAAGACACCGGCTCTGTGGTTGATTGATCTCTGGCTAGCTGCAGACTTATTTTCGGCAATAAAGAATAAAGAAAGCGAATAAACAATAAGTAATTAATTTTCCCCCGCGGAAACCCGTCGCTCGCGGCCCCTTTGCATGCACGCAGCAGCCCTCCAAACTCCGAAACCCCAACTCCTCATCCCCAACTTGACATAAATCCGGCCAAGAAACGTCTGCAGTTCAAAAACAGAAGGCTCAGGTGCGGTCGAAAGGCTGCAGTTGCTGCTGCTGCTGCAGTCGCCGCCGCTGCTGCTGCTGCTGCTGCTGCCGCAGCTCCGCCGCCCCAGCAGCAGCAACAAATCCCCGAGAAGCAAAAGCAACAACAGAAATCAAAAGCATCCACTTTTTGTCAAAGTTCAAATTCGCAAACCAACGAATTCAAACAAACAAAAGGGCCCCTGCTGCTGCGCGCCCCTCACAGCGGCCTTGCGCTCAGCCCCAACCAAACCCTAAACCCTAAACCCTAAACCCTAAACCCTAGTCCGCCGCGGCCTGCCTCTTTACTGCAAATTATAACCAGCTCCTTTCATGGCGCTGCTACAGCGCCGGGGTTAGGGTTTAAAGTTTAGGGTTTAGGGTTTAGGGTTTGGCGAAATGAACACTGTACTGACTGCGCATACAAATTCGCAGCTAGAGTTGATCCTCGTTAACGAGGATCAACTC